TAAAACAAATTATAGCTTCGGTGTTTTTTGACATATTGTCTTATACTATTGGGAATATCATTTTTGTATTTTTATACTCGTTACTCGTAGAATAAAAGGGTATACTAGGTTCGTCGGAAAGTATGTAACAGACAGAAGGAAGCGTTTCCGACCCCATAAAGAATATATGTATTCTTGATCAGGATCACTAGCCGAGTCGATCTAGCCATGTCCGTCTGACCGTCTGTCCGGATGAACGCTGAGATCTCGGAAACTATGGGAGCTAGGCTATTGGGATTTGGCGTGCAGATTCCTGAGCTTCTTACGCAGCGCAAGTTTGTTTCAGCAGTGTGCCACGCCCACTCTAACCGCCCAAAACTGTGGCTCCTACAGTTTTGATGCTAGAATTTTAACTGAAATGTATTGGTCTCGTCAATACCTATCGATTGATCCAAAAAAAAATTTGCCACGCCCTCTCTAACGCCCATAACGCTTAAATCTGTTTACCGCCGATAGGTGGCGCATTTTAATCTCGCTTTGCTGCTTGCATATCTCAATTTCCCTTTGGTCCCTTTAGCTGAGTAACGGGTATCTGATAGTCGAGGTACTCGACTATAGCGTTCTTCTTTGTTTAAATTTAATAATTATATGTGCAAGGGCATACAAACTTCGGCTTGCCGAAGTGAACTTCCTTTCTTGTTTTTTACTGTGATCAAATGCTTAAATCACAGTGTTGCAAAATGTAAAAATTTTAGGCCGAAATAAATATGTTAAAAGTAGTTATTAAGAAAACAGTTTACGGTAGTGGCAGTGGCTTAAGTCTATGAGCACCACTGTATGTAAATTATACATTGTATATTTAATTAAGTTTTTATAGTCAGCTGAAAGACACAGTCAACTTCTTCGTTCGGCAACAAACATGTTTGCTGATATGGACAGTACTGTGATAATAATGGTATATCTGGTAGTAGAATATACTATAATTAGGAACTAATATTATTGCCAAGTTATAAGAATCAATACCCTGAAAATCATTGTAGATCACGTTGACGATTTCGGGTATCTCTCTGATGTTTGGGCGTGCGTTCCACGAATTTCGAGTGATTTGCTCTAATTTTTTCTATCACATTCAGCTTGCAGAAAACATTTTTTACAGCTCAAATGTATTTTATGCACAAAGTGTTAATATTTGTGTAAGGGGTTTGCATGATTGGCGAAAACTCATGGTATACCACTGCGGGTAAAAAGTAAAGTGAATTTGATTGTAATTTGAAAAATCTTTATTTATACTTCTAAATGAATTTCATCCCCAATAAACTAGACCCTCCCGATAAAATAGACTTATGCCAACGTTTTTTCCATTCCTCGAAATAGTCCCTTGGAATAGCCATTTGCATCACGATAAGAGCCGGTGCATTATCGGCAAGAATATTTATACTTTATAGGGTCGGAAACGCTTCCTTCTGCCTGTTACATACATTCCGACGAAACTAGTATACACTTTTACTCTACGAGTAACGGGTATAAAAATCAGGGTATCATCGTACAGTCCAAACGTAAGAGCTGGGCATTCAAATGTTTACTCAACATTCCAAGGAGGCCTAGGTGCCCACTAAGATTCGATATTTCCCCCCAGTGGCTCCAAATAGCTCCCAAAAAGATTTTAAGAGCAAAATAAGTAATTTTAAATGCTTTATAACTCTAAAAGTCTATATATAATGTTGTTCTTTTTACAGAAATTTAGTTTAAGTTTTAACAAAAGAGAAAGCTATAGTCGATACCATCGACTATCAAATACCTGTTACTCAGCTAAGGCAAGTGTGAGGAAGATGGAAATATGCAGGCAGATTTATTTGCTTATAACTTTTTAATAAATGGTCTTAGGAATGTAATGCAAATGGGTATTGATAATGAAAACAAAATCCCATTTGTTTTTTTCCAAAACCTTCTAAAATGTAGGCACCCTGCTGATATAAACTTGCGCTGGGCAAAAAGCTCAAGAATCTACTTGCCAAATCCCAACTTTCTAGCTTTCGTAGTTTCCCAGATCTTCGCGTTCATACGGACGGACGGACATGGCTAGATCGACTCGCCTAGTGACGCTGATCAAAAATATACAGTTTGTCAAATAATTCCTTGCAAAAGGATAAATGTCATTAAAGTTAATTTTAAAGTTATATTTTTTTTAACAAGAATAGGATTTATTACATTTTTTTATATTATGGTTAAGGTGCTTAATATCTACAACTATGAATAAAAATCAAAACATATTTCAGCATGAAACTCAGTAAAAACAACAAAAACAAAAAGTGGGAAAATAATCAGTTGTCAATTAATTCTTTGCAAAATGTAAACATTGGTTAAATTCGAAACGAAAACATATAAAATATAACTGTTATTTTTCTAATATTTGGTGTGGTGTCGTTTGGCATCCAAGACAGCATTCAGACGACGAGGCATAGATTGAATAAGTTGACACACGCTTTAAATTTTTGCCCGAACGTCATTTTTGCCCGAACGTTTCGCAATTTGTCTGTGCTCAGTGCCGTTTTCTGTCAAATTTGTTTGTTTACAAAATTTTGATTTGTTTTTCTAAATGTTTTGAATTGTATAACATATTTAAATGTCCATCTTAACATAGGGTGCAAACACGTGCTTAGAGTGAAGCTGTGCAATTATTTTAAGTTATTTACGTGTATCTGGGAGAAACTAGGCATGTGATAAATACATCAAAATTTAAATTTGTCGATGTTTTTTTTGATATATCAAATATGGCTATTTTTGAAAATGTGTTTTTCATATTTCCTAATTGGACATATTGATCTGAAACGATGTGCAAAATGAACAGTATACATTTCATAATTTTCAGTACCAAAATTTTGGTTTTGTTGTGATTTCATATTTGAAATCACAAATAGTTTACTCATTTCAAATATTAAATTGCCTCCGGAAAGCATAAGAAGTAAATTACAAAATTACAAAACCGATTACATTTTTATAACGTATTCCGACGGTGGGAATCGCAATATCTTAGGAATTCATTTAGTTTAAGAGCCAATGCAACAACCGATCTATCCCTATACAGCACCCCAGAAAAGGAATGCTGGATGTAGATAATGAAGTGCAGCCAAATTAAATTTAAATAAATATACATATAAGATACGGTATAAGCAAGTGGTTGGTCACACTTTGTAATCTAGTTATCTTTTCAGAGTTTTCCAAAAGTACAATAAAAATAACATGTCGTAAACAACATTTTTAATGTTGGGCAAAATACTTTGTTTTTGGTGTTTTAAGCCAAAAAATTAACGGAAATAAAAATATCAAAAATACTTGATATATCGATTATATCCGGATGATAAATCTTTGATCGATTTGATTTTTTTTACAAAACGATATATCATCGATACGATATTTTATATACATTTTCACAATCCTAGGAGAAACCTAGCATCGAAAGGTTCTCCACTTGTTGGATTATGACGTGTAATGCCTTCAAAAAACCATTTTTGTTTCTGTTTCTGCCATGTTTACAAGCGGAAAAAGCCCTTATAATTAAAGTGATTCGAGAAGTATCGCCGAAATGGTACATTTTTTCCCGACGATCATTTTTATCTTATAGAAGTTACTAAATAGTGCCTTCCTCGATAAAAAATGCTGCAGGGTACGGACGGTCAGAAGACAGACGGACTTGGCTAATATATATAAGCATCGTATTTTTTTGTGTATTATTATAAATAAACATCCATATTTTCATAATACTCGTACTGTGGAACCATAGCATAATTCATTGGTTTTTGTTGAAGAAATTTCCCTGAAAGCTGAAAAAATTGACTTTTTTCACTTTTAGCTCCTTTTAAAGGCATTTTTATGTTTAACTATTTCGCAAGGAAAACATATGATATGTTTGCACTTTTTCTACCAAATTTTTTTATTCCAAACTAACAAAAAGATCAATCAATAGGGAGCGAAAAAATGTTAAATTAATTGTTATTACTTAATTCAATAAAAACAAATGGAGATATTTCCTTGGGGACAGACTCGATAGAAAGCTACATGAAACCATTTTATAATAAAGTTTTTGCTTTAGAATATTACGTCCACATTTACCACATTAAGCCCAAGTCGACTTCTATTTTGCGTACGTTCGCGACCGCGTGTTTTTTTGCCAATATTATAAAAAGGATAGCTCAATAAACCCCATCATTTACACTAAGCAAAGAGCTAACAAAATGCCATCGAAAGCAAATAAAAGTTTCAGAAAACGTTTATTTTCTTTTTTTATTTGCACTAAGTGCGTAGGAACGTACGTTCGAGACCCGTCGAAGTGCCCATATACTTTATAGGGTTGGACGAATCTTTTAGTATAGTAACGGGTATTACAATGGAGACTTTCCAATTTAAAACAACTAACGCTGACTGAGCATTGCATTTTGTATGTGCGTATCCAAACTTTAGTTGAGGGTCATGGAATCATTTAAAATGTCTTAAGCAGTTTCATATAAGAAACTCCAGTTCTAAGACTTTTCGGAAAGTGGACAAATAACGTAGTAAATGTTTCAAACAAAAACTTCCTTCAACATACAAAAGTTTTTATATTAAATTTTGTGATGAAGAAATGCTTGTACATTTGACTTAATAAAAGCACTTTTTAAGATGTACTCATTGGGCACGGTGCAAAAGAATATGCCTATGTATGCGAGCTTAGATATTTTGCTGAAGCAGGCTTAATGAAAACATTTTAGTAATTATATAAGTTGTCTTAAATCGGTAGATTAAAAAAAAGCTGTCAGAGGGTGTTAAAATTATCTCACTACTTTTAAGAACAGTTTCTAAAACGAGGACATAGTCGAAGTCGGAAATCTTCGTAAATTACATATATATTTTTAACCTCTCAATCAAGATCCGCCAATAATCTCTCAGATCAAGCAATCAGTGGAGCATAGAAACAGTAGAGAAATCCCCAAGGCAACCAAATCTTTCCCAGTTTTCTAGTACTGAAACGTTTTCTCTTCCCACAGCCGCTTACTACACTTATCAATACGAGGTGCCACTATGACGGCCATGCCCGTAGTTTGGTGCACCGATCCCAATTCGGTGAGCAACAAGCCCACAGCCTTCGCCTTGCACGGAATCCAGCTGCAGGGAAATGTGACTGAGAAGCAGGTCCACGCCCTCCGTGAGCTGGTTAACGCCGCCGCCGAAGGCCGTCTCATCCTGCCCTCGGACGGCACCTTCACTCTTCTAGACAGCGGTCTTAGCATCGAGAGCTCAATCGTAGAGCAAGAGTCTTGCAGCTCGATTAGCACCGGTGAGCTTGATCCACTGGCTCAGCCGAAGAGTTCCAAGAACACATACATCCTTATGCCCGTAAGCAAGGCGGAAGGCTCCAGACAAGGAGGAGGTACATTGACCGGAGGCGGAGGAGTGTCAGGACATGCGATTGCAGCTGCTGCCGCCCAACTAGAGTTTCTGCTGGAGCCGAGTTATTTGCCCACGCTCGAAGCCAATGGGGACGCGAAAGCGAATGCAGCAGTGGCGAAGGCCGGAGCGTCAGGGGAAGTTCTGTACGAGTTCCTATGCTGCGCCAAGTGCATGCACGCGCAACGGTCTGGACCTACTTGCACAGGGCGGCGCTTGCTGCGCATTTTGAGGACATGCAGCAGTGGAAGTGGCAGTGCCAGTGGCTGTGTCAGTGGCAGAAGCAACGACTACGAGCCGGTCAACGTCCCAGCTACATGGCAGCTACAAGTGGATCCTGTCAACAGCATTGCCAGCAAGTACACCCGCCGACAGCAGCGACATAGGCAACATTGCACCGTGTCTATGGGCATCGCACGTAATCGCGCCCATCGTCATCACAAACTACCCATGCACAGTGTTAAAATCTTTCATAATCGTAGCACTTATATGCCAGCCACTACAGCAACAGGAGCAATGACAATCGCTGGTCCGGCAGAGTGCCCTGTGGGCGGCGAGGTATCAATAGTTCCCATTCCGAGTTCGAGCTCGAATCCGATTTTGAATTCCAAACTCAGCCAGCCGACACCGGCGCGATCTAGATCGGTGACAAAAACATTTAAAACACTGTCGGCAACATCTCTGCCCCCATACGCCGTGACAAACAAAAATCGTGATTTGGCGAGCGGTGACAAGACTGAGAAATCTGCAACAACCATGCTGTCCGTGGTGCCCGAGAAGCCGTCGCCACATCGCGAAGACGGGCGCGATCTGATCAGCTTTGACGACGACCAGACGCAGGTGGATGCTGAGGCTGGGGCTGTAGGCCAGAAGTCTGGAACTGCTATAGACCTGCTATGCGCCCCCAATGAAGAGGACAATTTGTTGGCCCTGCTAGACACCCCGCCAGCCACTCCGAACAAGCCCAGTTCCCCTGGAAGCAACAACTCGAGCCGCAAGACCAGCTTTGATTCCACAAGCACCCTCAGCTCCATGGACTCTGGGTTTATGGAGATGCAGAACAAATTGGATGCCTTGGCAGCAGCAGCACCGACAGCAGCGCCTTTGGGAGAAGCAGCAACATTATCGTCAAGCGGCGAGCAAAGGGAGAGACGCAACTTTAAGGAGTGTCTAACGCAGTCGCGGAACCGCCGAAAATCCTACGAGGAGTTCAAAGCCATGTTTGTTGAACCCGTGGAAGCATCCATTTTAACGTCCATGCCACCGCTGGTGGCAACAGCAGCGGATGACGCAACACCAGCTAGCAACACCGTGATGCCACTTTCTTCCATTTCAGAACAAGAAACCACAGGCATCCGGGGTGTGAGAGGCAAACCGGATTGCGCAAACGAGTTTCCCGCCAGTGCCGATGAAATGGATACCGGTGATAGTGACTGTGATGGTGAAAAAGCTGCTGCTGCCGATGGCCATCTAACAGCAACAAAAACCACAGCAGCAGTACCTGTAGTCAGCAATACCACCACACAGGCGCTTCGAAAAAATTCGGATTTTCTATCGCAAATTCTCGATCATCAATTTGCGGCTAAGGAGCGAGCAAAGGCGCATAAGCGTCGCACTTCGTACGAGGAATTTAAACGTCTGGTTAACGAAATCGAGCCACTGGAATGCCAAGACGCCCCACCACTCGCCTTGGAGTCTGTGGTCGCATTGAGAACTGCAGCAGCAATAGCCACCTCGCCGTTAAAGCGCCAGAACTCGCGGCAACGTAAAAGCTTCGCCAGCTACTTTCTGCCGCGCAGGCACTTTATAGAAGAAGAAAAGACTGACAAAGAGAACTTCTCCCGGGATCTAAATGTGTCACCGCAAGATAAGCACCTGGCGGTCAGCAGCAAAATGCCGCCCTACAGGAGCAACAGCAATGACAGTTTGGGGTCCCATTATAGGCGCAACCTTAAGATCTGCGACAAGCTAGTGTACGGCACTATCTATGATATTATTCAGCGCAAGAATGATATGTACCAGAAGTACGATAAGTACATGACTTACGGCACCATCTATGAGATCCTGCACCGGAAGTCCTCACAATGTGACGACCGGTGGCAGCGCAAAAGCCTTAGCTCCACCTCAGAGGACCAGCGATCCTCGGCGGACGTTATATACGACATCGTCCAGAAACGGGAGCGTGAGAAGCAGCTTCAGCCGGGCAATCTGGAATGCCTGGATCCGATCAAGGTATCCACGTTCGGTGTTTACAAATATGGAACGATCTACGACATCCTGCAGGTCGAGAAACTTGATGCTAGTCTTGGCAATTGTAAGGCAGATCCCAAGCCAGCATTGGCCAAAACAACGCGCTTCGTGGTTAGCCAGGTAGAGGAGCCTGCGCAGACGCCACCGACGGAACAGCTGGAGTCTAGTGACCCGGATCGGTGTGTTGCAAAGCCCAGCAAGCCACACAAAATGCGACGGCTGTCCCACATCCTTAGCTACAGTCGAAACGCTGAGGAGGATCCCCATAATACGGCTGTCAAGCAGGAGGCCAAACAGAAGCGCACCCAGGCCAAAAGGCGGATCGGGGTCACCAACCTGCTGCTGCCACTGGACTCTGAGGAGATGTATACTCGCATTATCGCCCAACAACGAATGCTTGAAATGAAGCATTCTCAGGACCCACAAGAGGATAGTGGCAGTGAGGCAGATCTGTGCCCTCGCAATGCATTGACCAAGTCGAGCTCGCTGGACGCCATCTCCCTGTCGATGGCAATTTCGAATGCGCCCTCTCCCCCGCGTCCCCGTCGCAGCCTTAAGCAGCACCGCTGCCTTCACCAGCGTCAGAAAATACCTTTAGCCAAGAAGCACTCGCTGGATAATTGCCTTCAAACGGTGTCGGCGATGCCCAGCCGGCAGCCTCTTCGTCGCTGGTCAAACCAAACTCCATTGAAGTGTACCTGCCAACACGCTGCCGAGGAACTTTCGCTGACCGCCAAAGAGAAATCCCGCTCGCTGCCAACCGCCTGCTCCGCTCCCTACTTTCATACGTGTGCAAACTCAAGTTCAATCGATCAGAGCGCGACCACAACAAAGTCCTTCAAAAAAACATCGACAACGATAGCCAAGAAAGGCAAGTCGCGTCGACTTTCAGAATTTACGCGCGGTGAATTTTTAAATGAAAAATCGTAAGTTTAGCCTTCAACTACAGCCGAACGTCCCTCATTCGCCTGCCCTTCTCCCCGTCGAAAGCTATTTTACCGTTTTAAAATAAGATTTCTGATACTCCACTACCAATACTGGGAGTTATTTGATTCTTTTTCCGTGTTTTTATTTAAATAATGCACTAGCGACAAATTGAAATTGACAAGTTCAATTTAAATCTTGCTATAAAGATATGAATGTGTCAGGTCTTAATAAAAATTCAGAGGGCAAGGAGAGAAATTTAGATATCTAAATTGGTGGAAGTCCGGACTGGTGATCGCAAAAATCGATATAATTTCAACTACTATTTCTTTACACAATAATTTTGAATTAAAACTTAAAGCAATTGTACATTTCTCATTCTATAATGTTCCACTTCAGAATAGGAAATATTCAAAAACTGTCTTCTGAACTGAACTACTTCGTTGGCCAATAAATTAACGGTAAATGTCCCCTCGAATATAAAAGATTAATAACGTTAACTTGACGTTGGGACGTGCTTGAATGTTTCTCTCACACGCACTTACAGTCACACTTGTGATACCAACATTTATATCGAGTGACGCAATTAGACCTCGAGGAAGGGGGGAAAAAAAGGCAATCATATTTGCCTTTTCAGCTATAAATACTTTATTTAGATTTAGGATTATAGATCAGCTTCCCGAATTGGATGAAGTGATCATCCAAAAAGTGATATTTGGTTTTGCCTTTTCTTTTTTGCGATCTCTCTAATCTCATCGGTTTAAAAATTACCTTCTCAACTATGGTTAGGCGCCTTATTATTTTCAATAGATTTAGCATTAGCCAAATAAAAACGTTTTCTCTCGTGTCAGAACTTAGGGAAAAGGTTTCTCGAGTGCCGGCTAACATTTCTCGAACAGAAAAAATCCCTGCTAAGCGATTTTGGCTTTCTCGAGCCTCACTGTGAGAGCAGTCTAGCATTAAAAAATGATTTATCCATGAAAACCAAATCTATTGCTCCATCCGGACCAGACAACGCCCAGTCAAGACATGCCTTGCTATATTTATTTTTAGATGCACCGAACTGGTTGCTTTTCCAGCTCCTCGTTGTTCGCAGTGATTTGGAATTTGTGCAGCAAGTTTTTCTGTGATGTATGCTGCGTAGGCAATCCTGTCCGGACAGCAGACTGCCTCAATTAAATGAGTCCCACGTCCAGCAGATCGCATATCAGAGCCAAGAAGTAAACTCCATTTGAGTAGCCACATTGTTATTATTCAATGCATTTCGTTGTGTGCTTTTTTAATCATGTCCCAGTGCGATTGGCGCCAACCAACAATTTTACGTGGCTCCAATTGCTTTAACTTGAATCGTCTTGGCTTGGTTTGGTTTTAAAAATAGACAGATGCTCCGCCAGGCAGTTGTGGCTCACAACGGTCAATTGGCGAGTGCGTCTGCAAAGTTAAGAGTAGCTGCATTGCCAAGCTGAAATGACGGAAATCAATTGTTGCCTGAAAAAAATCATCCAACTTTGAAATTTTTTTATTTGATTTAACCTTTTTGCATATTATTAAGTGTCATTTGAATAAAATCCACCAATTATTGTATCGGTGTAATACATCGGTGACCAACGGTAACGGGCATGGCGATGTTTACTATATTTCGGCCAAAAATGATTGGATTTTCATTTTTTATACCCGTTAATCGTAGAGTAAAAGGGTATACTAGATTCGTCGGAAAGTATGTAACAGGTAGAAGGAAGCGTTTCCGACCCCATAAAGTATATATATTCTTGATCAGGATCACTAACCTAGTCGATCTAGCCATGTCTGTCCGTCCAGATGAACGCTGAGATCTCGGAAACTATAAGAGGTAGAGATTTGAGATTTGGCATGCAGGTTCCTGAGCTTCTTACGCAGCGCAAGTTTGTTTCAGCAATGTGCCCCGCTTACTCAACGCCCACAAACCGCCAATAACTGTGAATGTGATAGAAAAAATTAGAGCAAATCACTCGAAATTCGTGGAACGCAAGCCCAAACATCAGAGAGATACCCGAAATCGTCAACGTGATCTACAATGATTTTCAGGGTATTGATTCTTATAACTTGGCAATAATATTAGTTCCTAGTTATAGTATATTCTACAACCAGATATACCATTATTATCACAGTACTGTCCATATCAGCAAACATGTTTGTTGCCGAACGAAGAAGTTGACTGTGTCTTTCAGCTGACTATAAAAACTTAATTAAATATACAATGTATAATTTACATACAGTGGTGCTCATAGACTTAAGCCACTGCCACTACCGTAAACTGTTTTCTTAATAACTACTTTGAACATATTTATTTCGGCCTAAAATTTTTACATTTTGCAACACTGTGATTTAAGCATTTGATCACAGTAAAAAACAAGAAAGGAAGTTCACTTCGGCAAGCCGAAGTTTGTATGCCCTTGCACATATAATTATTAAATTTAAACAAAGAAGAACGCTATAGTCGAGTACCTCGACTATCAGATACCCGTTACTCAGCTAAAGGGACCAAAGGGAAATTGAGATATGCAAGCAGCAAAGCGAGATTAAAATGCGCCACCTATCGGCGGTAAACAGATTTAAGCGTTATGGGCGTTAGAGAGGGCGTGGCAAATTTTTTTTTGGATCAATCGATAGGTATTGACGAGACCAATACATTTCAGTTAAAATTCTAGCATCAAAACTGTAGGAGCCACAGTTTTGGGCGGTTAGAGTGGGCGTGGCACACTGCTGAAACAAACTTGCGCTGCGTAAGAAGCTCAGGAATCTGCACGCCAAATCCCAATAGCCTAGCTCCCATAGTTTCCGAGATCTCAGCGTTCATCCGGACAGACGGTCAGACGGACATGGCTAGATCGACTCGGCTAGTGATCCTGATCAAGAATACATATATTCTTTATGGGGTCGGAAACGCTTCCTTCTGTCTGTTACATACTTTCCGACGAACCTAGTATACCCTTTTATTCTACGAGTAACGAGTATAAAAATACAAAAATGATATTCCCAATAGTATAAGACAATATGTCAAAAAACACCGAAGCTATAATTTGTTTTATATAATTTTCCCACCAATTTTCTGATCGTTCCTATGGCAGTTATATGATATAGTCGTCCGATTTTGATAAAATTAAATTCGAAACTCAAAACTAATTAAAAAATGTTATTTCCAAGCGTAGGAGGTTATATGTTAAGTACACCGAAGCTATAATTTCTTTCATATTATTTTCCCACCAATTTTCCGATCGTTCCTATGGCAGCTATATGGTATAATTGTCAGATTTTGATAAAATTAAATTCGAAATTCAAAACTAATTAAAAAATGTTATTTCCAAGCGTAGGAGGTTATATGTTAAAAAACACCGAAGCTATAAATTGTTTCATATTATTTTCTCACCAATTTTCCGATCGTTTCTATGGCAGCTATATAATATAGTCGTCCGGTTTTGATAAAAATTAATTCGAAATTCAAAACGAATTAAAAAATGTTATTTCCAAGGCTAGGAGGTTATATGTTAAAAAACACCGAAGACATAATTATACCCGTTATTCGTAGAGTAAAAAGGTATACTAGATTCGTCGGAAAGTATGTAACAGGCAGAAGGAAGCGTTTCCGACCCCATAAAGTATATATATTCTTGGTCAGGATCACTAGCCGAGTCGATCTAGCCATGTCCGTCTGTCCGTCTGCCCTCCTGACCGTCTGTCCGTCCGTCCGGATGAACGCTGAGATCTCTGAAACTATAAGACCTAGGCTATTGAGATTTGGCATGCAGATTCCTGAGCTTCTTACGCAGCGCAAGTTTGTTTCAGCAGCTTGCAACGCCTACTCTTACGCTCACAAACCGCCCAAAACTGTGGCTCCTACAGTTTTGATGCTGGAATAAACATTTTAACTGAAATGTATTGTTCTTATCAATACCTACCGTTAGACCGAAAAAATAAGTTTGCCACGCCCACTTTAACGCCCACAAACCGACCAAAAGGTTCAAAAAAATCGCAAATATGAACGCGGATATCTCGGAAACTATCAAAGATAGAGAATTGGGATTTCAGATTTATATCCGTAGCCTTGTACGCAGAGCAAATATGTTACGCGAACATGCCACGCCCACAAACCGCACAAACCTGTGGCGCTCTCAATTTTTGTGCCAGATAAAAAATTTTAACTGAAATGTATTAGTCTCGTCAATACCTATCGATTGACCCAAAAAAAGTTTGCCACGCCCACTCTAACGCCCATAACGCTTAAATCTGTCTACCGCCAACATAGCCAAATATTGAGATCGCGGGTAGTTGGCGCATTTCAATTTCGCTTCGCTGCTTGCATATCTCCATTTCCCTTTGGCACCTTTAGCTGAGTAACGGGTATCTGATAGTCGAGGTACGCGACTATAGCGTTCTTCCTTGTTTTATATTTCGTTTAGGGGGTTATAGAGTCTATGCCCTAGTAACAAGCACTTTTTATTGTTTTTTTTTAATATTTACATAATTTGGTAAATTTTTGTAGTAATATAAAAATAAATTTCAAATTTATAAAAAAAACACACTATAGATCTTGCTCCCTTAGGAAGAGAAAAGGGTACCTGAAACTCTAAACGCAATTAACATGTTTTTCCAAAATCGTCGTTGCGCTGACTTGGACTGAGTTTTCCACCAACTTAAATTAGTATACTCGTTACTCGTATAATAAAAGGGTATATTAGATTCGGGGGAAAGTTAAAACAGGCCGTATAAAGCCTTTTCTGACCCTGTGAAGTACTTATATTCTTCATCAGGATCACTAGCCAAGTCGAGCCATGTCCATTTGACCGTCTGTCCGTATGAACGTTCAGATCTTAGAAACTATAAAAGCTACAATGTTGGGGCTTAGCTAAGATTCCTGCGCATCGCAAGTTTGTTTAAGCCAAGACCCACGCACACTTTAACGCCCATGACGCAAAAGTCTTTCTGGCATCCACATTTTGAAGACTTTCAGTGAAAACGGAAAAGG